ATAGCCCATTTAATCACATAACTAAAAATAATTTATTATTGTTGTATTTAATCACGTAACTTTTTTACACTTTCAGTAGTACATTCTGTTTCAAACAACTGAAGAAAATGTTTTACAACACAAAAAAATACTATAAAAAATCCAAAAAAGATATATAATTAAAAAGGTTAACAAAGATTGAAATTTAGATTAAATATATTACTTAACAGCAACTTACCGGCAACTGAGAAGTTCACTCATTCACCTGATGAAGCTGACAGGCAACTGACGCTATAGTGGTAAAAATAGTAACCGGTGAAACACTCCACTGTCAGGTCTACGTTCGTGTGGCGTTCTAGAAGTGCCAACTGAAAGAAGAATGCCCAGTTCACGTTCATTTAGCAGAAGAGTGGTCAGTGGGGGCTGAAAAGAACACAACGTCTTAAAACATTCCCAGTGGGCTGATCACCCACTGAAACGTCATTCACGTCACAGCCAATAGCGCAACTTAAATCTCTACTGATTCCACATCACTACAATAAACTACAATATTTACTCTGTAACACTGTTAATTGTGTTTGGAATTCGTTTTTCCTACAGTCACCCGACAAAGTTGGCTTCATTGTACTGTTTATAGTACAGAGAGCTGCTAATTGCTGCATATTTATACTTTGTCGTACGGTTTATACTTTGGGTGCACATCAGGATTCCAACCAAACAACACAAAACAGCGTGGTTTTATTATACACGTAATCCGTGTACGCTTGGAAATAGGTTGGCAACACTTAAAGATAATTTGATCAGCTGATTGACTATTATAACTACGATTTACCTTTCATTTCGTGTTTATAGTTTATGTCCTATTTTCGTTCAACGCTTGGTTTGAACATAACCTATATTTGAACCTATTTGAAAGAATAATTAAGTGGAAAGTGGGACTAACGTATTTAAAATTAATGAACTAAGTGAAAGTGATAGCGAATTATATTATGTGCACACCAGAAGAAATTGCAGAAACTGCTAAACACGTAACTTTAAACCTGTTACTAGAAAACTCCAAACAGAAGTACTAACGAGCTTAAATGAACTGTTTTCCTCATGGTGCGTGAGTAAAAAAGTAACAAAATGGTGTCAGAAAATGTGTTATTGGCATATACAGTACCTACTATTATAAATTAATCGTAACACAATTTAAATTTTGATTGAGGTTATCTTTGGGTTCTAAGGGGAGATCCATAAAGGTTACTGTATTTGAATAAAAAATTATTAAAGTTAAAATGGTACACTTACTATAAAAATACAGTTTTTTAAATAATTGTTTAAGTAAAAAAGGTACAAATATTACAAAATATCGCTCTTTTAATTCAGGAATTAAACTAAATTAGAGTTGGTTAGCCTAATAGTTTCTGTAGACATTTTTAACCCATTACATAAAATGAATAGAACTTCCTTCTCAGTTGGATGTTGAACCATAGATTAACGGAATAGACAAGATATATATGGGGTCACTTTAAGTTAATATAAGTTAAAGTTAATAAAAGTTATATTTCCACCATAGATTAAAGGTGTAAGACTACTTTGATCTAATTTGTTCGCAAATAAATCTTTTGTTTATAATAAAGACCAGGCATAAATATTACATATATAATAATACAATAGCTTGTTTCTTAAAGGTGTTCTTTATGTATAAGCGTGGTTTGCCAAATCTTGGCTAGGAAATTATGTTTTGAAGAATAAAATACCAGGTTTATGGCATCTTATCGAGCTACAGTATTGATCTTATCGAACATTGCTTTAGAACACCAAAAATAACACCCATCTATACAGGGTGACAAAAAAGTCTGGAAACGGCTTGATATCTTTTTAACTAAATTTGTTAGAAAATTCAAACAGTTCACATCAATTTATATGTATGAAAACTACTTTTTGCAAGCATTGCCATTTTTTTACCGTCACCAGGGGACGACCCATGCATGAGAGTTAGGTACATAATTTTTAATGTAAGCATAGGTTGATATGCACATCATTTTAAAGGTCTGGTCAAGTGGAGTTCATTACCGGAAACCGCGTCAAAAAAGGTTCATCCGTTACAAAATGGCAGCAGTCCAAAGTTCTTGCGGAATATACCTGCACAGGCTTTAGTATTGGTAAATACTCGTATTAATCATTAGCTTGAGAGCTGAAATTGTATTTTAATGTCAACTAGCTCATAGACTAAGTTTATTCAATCTTCAAAACAAATTTAACCGGGTTTCAGATTTCCCAGCTAATGTTGACTACGAGTGAACATGGTTGTATTAATAGTCAAAGGTTTAACCTAACCTAAAAAGGTGTTGTACATTGTTTGAAAGGATAATTATTTATACTAGGTGAAACCCGTCGAAATAGACGGTAGGGACCTCCTCGTTTATATGGACGTGTGGCTTCATGGCAACAAATAATGCAAATGAAATAGCAATACGGCATTTTCAAAGAGAAAAACATACTGTAAATTGGCTGTTACGTAAATATTGACGTTTACATGCATTGTTAATCAACGTATCTTATAAATAAAGGATAATATGATCTAGTTTAAAAGGAATATGACCTTTCTGTCCTGACAGTAGCTGCTTAAATAGTATTTACTCTTACAGCCAAAAATATCGTGTTACATTCAATAATGTTACCAACACAGTGAGCCACGGTCCGTAATATAGGCCACTGCAAATAATTTGTCAAGATAGGTACCATTTTAGGCAAGGCTTTTGTGTTTGGATGTTATTAGACACGATAAGAGCACACTGAACTTCTTCTACAGATGAATAACTGTTGGAGAAATATAAGCCGAATCATAAATGTAACAATGCGAGTTTGAGCATTTTGTAACTACTAGTGAACCTGTGCGGCTCAATGCCCCGCAAAATAACATAGGAATTTAGAAAACAAATTCATCGTGTTATATATTGACTCGACGTCGAAAATTAAATACAGTAATCATAAAGCCTTAGAACAGGAGCAGTCCAGCCATTTTCTAGATGTATGTGTTTTATATTTAGTAAATTAATAAGTGTTCAAGTTCAAGTTTGTTATAGGCAGCAAGCAAGGCTATAGGGTAGTTATTTTTTTAAGATTTTGAAAACACATTTAACAAAACATTTTATTATATCAAACCAATAGGTAGCCTATGTAGCATATTTTGGGGGTCATAAAAATGCTGCTTTGAAGAAAGCACACTTTTAAAAATAAACACTAAAAAAACAATGTTTTTATCACAAAAGAACTTCCATGAGTCATAAAGTTACCTTCAGAAAGATTACCCTGGTCAGAGTTTTCCGTAACGAATATGCGTGTCCTATTAAAAGATGTAGCCTTACTTAAAACAACAAATAATATAGTTGCTCATGACTGAAATTGGTCTGGGTAGAACCATGCTGCTCTTTAATTAAAGTGCTTGTACTGCAAATGCCAAAGATAACAGAAATTAGCATCTTTCCATTTTGAAAGGTAAGTTTGTTTTAGACGGGTAAATTTTTATCCTCGAAATCAAAATATGTCGGATTCACTTGTTCCAGTTAAGACTTTACATTCTATTAAGTTGTTAACCATTCTGATCACATGAAGTCTTGTGCCATTAATAAGGCCCTTTTTAGCGAATTTCCCTATAGGGAAGTAGCTATTACCGAAGGTGGCACGGTAAGACCTAGACCCGGGACCGATTTACTTTTTCATTTTGATGTCCCCAGAGGCCAAAAACACCATTCGTTCAAATTTTTATATATGTATATATATACAGGGCCGCCCCGAGGGCTATAGACGCCCGGGGCAAGATTTAAATTTTCGCCCCTCCTAAACAAAGGTATTTCGGGGGTTTGCGTCGATAGAGGGTTCATCGATATCGAACGTTATCCATGTATTTTTTAAATCCTTTACATACAGTATTCAGTTTGTTTAAATATAGGAATGGGTCCACAGACGGTCAATGTAAACAATAATGTTAGTAAATGCACGCTGTTAGCTTAAAAATAACTCTATTATTTACAAAATGCCGAACTTTTGCTAACATAATTTGCCATAAAAGTATATGAAAAAGCATTAGAGACGAAAATCTTTGAAATTGTTTAAAAAAAATGTATACCATTTATTAAGAAACACAACACTTTATTTACAAAAACGTATCATTATAATATTGAAATTATAACAAACAGAACTTATGTAGATAAATCTTTTGGCAATAGATACAACTTTGAAACCATAATACAAGATTAATTTACACCCAATGGAATTTTCCTAGCTTTGGCATTTGCAAAAGAGGTTAAAATGTCTTTAAAGTCTAACTGTTTTGCCGCCTCATTTTCTATCGATAAAATTGCCAATGCATTCAGCTTTTCTTGCGTCATAGTGGATCGCAGATACGTCTTGATGAGTTTTAACTTGCTAAAACTTCGTTCAGCACTTGCTACAGTTAGGGGGATGGTCAGCAATATCCTTAGAGCAATCCACAAGTTTGTAAATAGATCTTTTTGGTCATGTGACTTAATACTCTTTAGCACCTTGAGGGGAGATAACGCTTCATTTGTTTTATGTTCATCATGAACGATGCTTTTCACGTGGATAATTTCATTATACAAGTCATTTCCGTTTATGTCACTAATGTTATCAAATGTAAGAAATTCTTGAAGTTTCAGGCAACACTTCTTCAACTCCTCTTTTTCTGGCAACTTGCTAAGGTCATACAAAAAGCTCCATAAAGAATGGTGCTTTTTCAGCTGTTCAGTACGTCCAGTAAGAGATGTGGTTACACTATCAACAAGGGGCAAAAATACATCCCTATTAAAGAGTTCCTGTGGAGTACCGTTAATTTCATCTGGCCCTTCATAAGAAAACTGTTTCTTTTTCTTCCTTAAAGGCTTTTTCGGGAAAACGGGCTCAGTTCCAATACTTTCGGCAATCTCCTTAGCACAAATGATTGCATCTACAAGCCCTGATTCTCGAAAAGACCCTAGGAAGGCTTGGCAATTATCAAGCAGCCTTTTGGCTGATGTTCAATCAGTCATTTTCCCTTGTAATGTTTTGCTTACAAGATTAACTTGAAACAGAAGATCGTGCCAAACAATTAAACAAGTCAAGAAAGAAAAATCTTCCATATGCGATATCAGAGACTGAGCTTCTGATGCTGTTTTAGGGTCTTCAACACTGTCTGCAAGTTCAATCAATGCTTGTCTAACGTCAGCATACTGGTACCTGATAGCCTGAATGGAAGAAATCCTCGCTTCCCAGCGAGTTTCACAAACTTGTTTAATAGATAGTGATTGGACATGTTCACTCACTATACAATAGCGTTTTGTCGATCCCGCAAATATCGTGTAGATCCTCTGAATTATTCCAAACAGTGAGGTTGACTTAACAGACGACTTTGCACCATCAGATATTACCAGATTCAAACTGTGACTGGTACACGGTGTAAACGAAGCACGAGGATATTCTTTTAAGACTCTAGCCTGAACACCTTTGTTTACACCAGCCATATTAGCACCGTTGTCATAAGCTTGTCCTCGGCAGTCATTCATGTTTAAATGGCAACTTTCAATTTCAGCGAACAACAGCTCTGAGAGAGCTTCTCCAGTTGATTCTTTTGCCACTTTATATCCAATAAAACTTTCTTCAACGGCTACATCACCACTTATTCCATCTTGTTCTGTTACATATCGGATTGTGAGAGATATCTGGTCTTTATGGGTTATATCTGGAGTGCTGTCCAAGATTACAGAAAAATACTTGGATTTATTTATTTTTCTGATTGTAGCCTTCTTTACTTCAGATCCCAAAAGACAAATTAGCTCGTTTTGAATATTATTTCCTAGAAGAGTCACTTGGGAGGAGGCACTAGTTACCCTTCGCAAGTGATCTGACATGACACCATCGAATTGTCCTATCAGCTCGATCAGACCTAAGTAATTGCCGTTATTCTTAGTAAATAGCTTTGAAGATGACCCTCGAAAAGCGATATTATGTTCTGCCAAATATAAGATTATAGCGACAAGGCGCTTAAAAACTTCCTGCCATCTTTCTGTCTCTCTCCTAATTTGGTCCGATAGAGCATGATTCACCGAAATACATTTTTTTAGACGTAGCTCGGCTTCAAACCAGATAGTCATAGTTTTGAAATGCTCTGGTGTGGTTTCGTGTAAACGAAGTCGCTCTGCCAGGTGTTTCCAATCATTAAAACCTGACTTTTGACCAAGTTGTGACTTTGAATTAGGCTCGAAAAGTCGGCAACAGAAGCAGTATACTGAGTTGGTGCCTTCAGAATACACCAACCATTTGCGTTTTACCTTTTCCCCATTTTCCGCACATCGAAATTGGTGTTCATTAGAAAAATGTCTCTTTTGGGCATTTTTTGGATAATCATTATCAGCCTTTAACGGTATAGGCCCTTTTAAAATTAACTCGTCTCTTTCATCTCTATTAATGATATCTGGCCAAGAGGATGGATCTGAATTGATTAGGCCTACGTTGACGGGTTTAGGAGATGAAATCGACAACTTTTCATTCTCATTAATTTTTCTTCAATCAAAACTGAATCTGGAACTGGAAGGACTTCATTAGGTGTACTCACGTTTACTGAGACATGTTCAGGCTCACTAATTATTACAGCCGAAGAACTGGAAGGAGCAAAATAGGATGTAAGCTTTGGGACTTTTTTCAGAAGTGCTTCAGTCGCAGCCTCCTCTTCTCGAACTAACTTGCGTCTTTGCGCTCCAGAAAGTTTTTTAGACATCGTTATTTAAAACAGTCATTCACTTTGTAGTAATCCTACTATAGGCCTAAGGAAATATCACTGTTACATGTTGTACTAATCGTCAAAACCACGTCTTTATTAACAGTTCAAGTTTGCACAACCACTGAGCTAATCGTAACGTAACAACTACAATAGACTAACTCAACTACACTGAACTAAATTTGAGGTTAGAAACGAGCAAGTGTAGGTGCGTGTGGGTGAATGCGCAGTGTGTATGTCTCGGACTCGCAGTATTGCCAACACGGCAGACGTTGATTATATATATATATATATATATATACGTCCGTGAACGCGATAACTTGAGTAATTTTTGTCCGATTTTGATGAAATTTGGTTTAAAGGTGTAAAGCGGGATAAACTTGAATGAGTTCGCGAACCAGCACGATCGGACCATGGGAACGGGGCTTTACGGGGGGTTTTATGGGGTAAAAATTGGTTTTTCTCACTTTTGACCCTCAAAACACAAAATTTCCGGATTTCTCTTTAAACCTTTTTAAAGAGCTTAAAAAAAATAATTTAGTATATACAAGTATTTTTGTTCGATTATTGGTAACGGAGAAAATTAAACAAATCTTAAATTTAAAATTCCCATGTTATTCTTATGGAGAATATTGTCAAATGTTGTAGTTTGCTTGTTTATGGATATATTTTGATCAAACTTGGCAAATTTATTTATTTTGTACTAAGCTATCAATATTTTACTCAAAAACACACTTTATTAGTTTCCTTGTAGCAGCAAACCTAGGTACTCGTTAAACCTAATGTTATTAAAATATATTTAACTGAAAATCAATTCAGACAAATGGAAATTCGCTTAGTCGGCAGGTTTGCTGCGGCGGGGGTATTGATATATTAATATCCCTCATCAATAAAACCAGTGCCCCCTTTTATTAGTCTAATCTGCGTCTTGGCAATCCACTGACCTCTATATTTAAAAACTCAGTTGGATTTTCTAGATGGGTGTCTCCGCCTTCGTCTGTTTTCAAGGACCCACTCTTCTTCCCCTTGGTATACTGACAATTAATTACCTGACTTGTCAAGTTCATGTAGTAATTCAATAATACTGTTAGTTTATAAAGAAAATTAGATAAAAGTTACTTGGCTTGGTGCTTTCATAACTGCAAACTCAAAATACACCCACAAGTAAAAAAAGAATCAAGTTATTGGTAAAAAAAACTATTTTTGTGTAATAACATTATTCACATGAAGTAGATGATTTGTTTGATTTGTCGATCAGCTGTTTAGTTTCAAATGAATTAATAGGTAATGTCAAAGATTTGTGATTTTAAATACATAAATCCACACATTATAGCAAAGTTTTCTAAATAATGTTAACTTATTCTCACCTAAATTTTACTATTCCCAGCATTAAAATAAAGTAGTAAGATCCATTATGGGTAAACTTTAAGGTACACAATCCTTGATTGAAATGGAGTATACATTAAGAGTCATAATACACAGCAATCATTATGTAGTAGACTTTGACTATTTTCAAGTAACAAACATATGTTTCTGTAAATAAAAATTATCTCCCATGTTATTCTTATGGAGAAATACGAAACTTTAAAGGGCCCCAGGGCCTCACTCTCTAATTATTTACCTAAAAAGAAAGTTTCCTGCACAACTTCATGTTACATTCTTTCCAATGACACCGAAAACGTGTCAATCGGTTTAGTAGTTTCGGAGGAGTAATTGTTACAAAAAACTTGCTTGTGTATTAAATAAGTACTAGAGGTCGTCCAGTGGTCGAAAACTCGACCATAAATATGTACGATTGGATTTTTTTAGCTAGAAGCGGTTGAGATATGGTGGAATATCTTTGCGGGTGAACATATTTGGCTATAGGCTGTAGTGAGCGCGATCCATAGTAGTACGGTAATATAGATATAGTATAATAATAGATAGTAGTAACATCAATGGTGTTAGCATTGACTATTGGATACAGAATATGACATCCCATTTATATGGATCAGCTGTCGCCAATTTTTTACTAACAAAGAATGTAGTTGTGTGCGCCAGTCACAGAATGTGCTAGTGTCTAAAATTCTATTTTCTACCTTTTTTGTTACCTACATAGTTGATGGGTCATTACAGTTACTATAGCTCATAATAAGTCGGTCCATCAGTTTGACTTGGTAAAAACCATCGTGTATTCGACAGAAATCAGTAATTTAGATTAGAGCAATCTGTCGGTTTCTCACATCAACTAAGACAAATTTGATTAAAAACCTGGCTACAACTTTAACATGGGGATGGAATGTCTAAGGTGTTAGGTTATATACATCGATGGTGCGATCATGTGTTCAATGTTCCCATGCAAATTTTTGAGGTCAAATCAAAACAAACAAACTGGCATGTTGTCAATTAGGGACAATGTTGTATTACTTACGAAAGAAATTTCATTTAAGATCAAATAAATTGATTTAGTATGTCATTTATTGTCTGATTTATTAGAAAAAATTCAGTATTTAGGCTACTGCATTTTATAAATCAAACTCGAATCTTGCTTCCCTGGCCTATCGTATAACGTTTTCCGAATCATAAATCATCATTATGTCCCAACAGTTTATCATGTGTAACCAGTTACGGCAACTACATTATTCTATTAATATAATGATCAAAATTAAATTTGCAAGATGATTCAATATTTTAATATCTGCTCATGTAAAATTAATCATTTTCAAAGCAACCATCACTTAATTTGAAGGCAATAATTAAATAACCATTTATTAATTAGTTGATTTGGAATAAGTAATCATGTATCTATTTCACACTAAATATTCTCTAATGACAAAGTGATTTTATTACAGTAGAGTAAGTATATTTAACTACTGTCAAATTCCAAAAATATATATGCCAGTTTTTTTGTTTTGATTTAACCTCAAAATTGTACACGTAATGAACACATATAGCATTAAAAAGGTTCATCTTCAATCAAAGGTATTAGGTATTCCACCACAGCTTAACCGATTCTAGCTAAAAATCCAGTTGCACTGTACAGACTTGTTTATTTTTCACCCCACACTGTAAATAAAAATGTGATTAGAGTTTCTAACATTTGTTTTGATTTCTGTTTATATTTCGTTGTTATTTGGTCACCAGCATGGCAACCCATAAAGCCCATGTTAATTTTTTGTTAATTTCAAATTAATTTTTTGTGCTTATTTTTGAGCCTATTTTAATTTATAAAGGGGTTCTGCACACCTACAGGAAAATAGCTTTCTAACGGTATGCGTAGATTTTTCTTACGATGCACAAGAGCTGGGAAAAAAGTTTTAAAAAACCTGCTTGCTTATTAGTGAATGTAGGAAAAAATATAATGAGTAACACGAGCGCAAATGACCTTTGCTCACTAGTTACACAAATAACTATAGAATCGTGGATGCAACAGATTTTGTCGTATATCCATTTATACTCTTACTTAAATTTGAAGTGCAACGATAAGTCGAGGAATAATTACAAGAATGAGTGGCATTGATCAACAATATACTTGTTTTGCAATCATTTAGCGTATAAATAATTTCTCGTGATTTTATATATTTAGATTGAATACACCAAAACTGCATTTACCATTTAATTAAGTAAATAAAACAGTTCATTACCTGAGAAATGAGTTTATTAACACAACCAATACGATATTCATAAATAATAAACCATAGGACTTATTAGTTCTTGCTGATCCACTATATTTACATTTCTTAGAGATTTTCGTTCCATTGAAGACGTTCGTGTGCTCATTGATCCATGGAAGAAATGGACAGATATCCTGAAACATAACCAATAGGGAACTGGAAAACCCGTCATTATAGAAGGTGCAGTAGAACCTCGATAACAAGTCTATATGGATTATCATATAAGACTTCTTACCAAGGTTGACTTCTTAGCGAGATTTACAATAACATGTCATTTAGGACATTATAAATTCAAAGGTATTTTAAGATCAATATCAAGGGGTATCATTATCAAGGGCCTTGTTATCAAAATTCAAATGTGCCAGAAAACAGTGACCTAGGATTACAGTAGTAATAAAGGACAGCAGTATCCCGATTAGAACCATCACAACGCTACTGACTTTTCTCACGAATGAACTACCGATCGTCTGGTTAATACGGG